GGGGGGGGCTGTCAGAGTGAAGTTGGTAAGTAGAGACACAACTAACAGTATCCAGTCACTCACCCTGCAATGCTGCTTCACAAACTGTTACCATCTGAATGTCCGCAGTGTCATTAGTGTTGCCGGGATAGGGCTCAACAAAACCATACATGTGAATCAGTTGCCAATTCGCCATTTGCCCATAAGTGTTGAAAATCTCGTGGCCTTTTGGAATGGGCTGGGTGGCAACCATCCGTAAACACTCCTAGTATGGGAGGGAGAAGCTGCAGCCAGCCCCGCCCCATGCCCACCACCCTCCTACAAGAGCCTCCCAGGGGTGTGGTTCATGTACTATAGAGGAGAAGCAAGGGAGGGCTGCACAGAGCAGGCCTAGTGACTGCTCAGGCATCCAGCACTTCGTAAGGAATTTAGTGGGCAAAGCTAGCAAAAGCAAAGGAACAAGAAACAACAGCCTATTTCTAAGTTTTTAATTTCACAAGGTTTCCTTAAAACTCTTCAGTCCAAAAAATAAACTTCAGTCATACACCCCTGACCTCTGAAGACTCTGCATACAGACGTCTCTGATTGCCGTCCACTGGGCCCCCACACTACCTTGCAGAAAACAGTCAACAGGCCAGTGATGCTCAACTCCACAGGACACCCAACCAGCTCGTGGTCAGGGGCCGCTTTCTTTCAGGGATTCAAAATACGTTTGCCTTGGTATTGGTAGAGGTGGGCAGGAAGAGCAAACCTCACCTGATCATTTTTAGCATGAACTGTGAAAGTAAGCTTTTATCACTGACCCAGGCTAGCATGGCACGCTGGTATGAATCAGTGGCCCGATTATCAGTGCACAAGAAAAAGTTACTCACTGCCGAGAATTCCAGATTGGCATTGTGATTGGCTATGTGGTTCAGTATGTCTGCAGCAGGCACCATCAAGGGGGAATTTGGCTCCTTTTCTTCATCATCATCTTCCTCTAGTAGTTCCTGAAAGCTGACAGAGAACTTTGCTAAGGCCTAGTTGGTTTTTGGTTTTTTTAAAATTAAAAGATCATTTTACTGGGGGCTCTTAAAACAATTTATACATCAATTGTATCAAGCATATTTGTACATATGTGGCCATCATTTTCTGAACACTTTCTATTTGAGCTCTTTTAGGCCTAGTTTTGTTAGGGCTTCACTGTACCTCCTCCCACCCCCTCCCCAAATGACAAGTGGTTATGCATTGGGCTGCTAACAGCAAGGTCAACGGTCCGAAACCACCAGATGAGGCTTTCTACTGTAGTCACACTTTGGGAAATCCACAGGGTCAGGTTGCTATGAGTCGGCATGAACTTGGTGGCAGTGAGTTTGGGGTGTTTTTTTTTTTAATGTTAAGTACACAAATTGATTTTTGCTACCCCTAAGGTTTTCTAGGCTTTTAATTTTTTTGACAATAGATCCGACAGATCTGGCCCCCTCTGCCCAGGGCCACCAACCAGGTGGCTTCCCCCACCAATCATAGTTCTGCAAGAAGTCGTCCTCCGGGCTCCCACAGACCTGTAGGCCATCACCAGAGCCACAAGCTGCTGGTAGAGCTCCAGGGACCGCACCCGGGGGCTGAAGAGATCAGGGTGGGCTTCCATGAAGGGTAGGACGACGGAGTGGAACTCGCTGCCGATGTTGACCAAGTCCTTCTCCACAGCCTCAGGCACGCCCGTGCCCTGCAGCAATCGCCGGCGTTCATCCTCGGGCCTGTGGTGAAACCCAACCGGGTTCCCATCCCACACACTACCAGGAGAGGGTTGTGGGCTCCGGGTTCCCGGGGGTGGGGTGGGGGGATGGGAGGGGGTGGTGGTTGGCGCAGGCTGTGCCGCGAGCCCCTCCCACAGCTCTCACCAGAACATGGGGTGCTGCAGGCGGCCCAGGTCCGGCCAGAGCGCGAAATATGGGTTCCAGAAGGAGGCGGGGGCCTGCAGTTCATGGAGCAGCGCCAGCAGGAGGGGCACCCAGCCCGACTGGCTCTGCAGGGCACTTTGCTCTGCGGGAGGCACAGGGGTGAGGGCCGCGGCACCCACCACTCGGGGGGCCCCGCACCCTCGCGCGGCAGCCCACCTACCTCGTTCCAGCAGGGCGCTGATGGAGCAGGTGTTTGGAGACAGGAGCGCGGCCCGTGGCACCGCGAACAGCAGCTCCCCAGCCTCCACAGTGTCCTGGGCCACCATGCCGTAGCCGGCCACCGTGCCCTGCCGGCTCACCGCCACCTGAGCCAGGGGTCGGGCGGGTCAGGGCCGCCCGCC